AAAAAAAAAAAACAACATGCCCCCCCCCCCCCCCAACCCAAAATACAAATAAAAAAAGCCAGACGAATTTATAAATGACAAAAATGCCTAAATAAAATACATAAAATGAATATAGATCATGCAAGGACAGGGACAAAAATCACCACAGAAATCATAGCCATAACAGATAAATACTATAAATAGTATAATAATCTTAATCTTTAAGTTCAACTATTCTGTAAATATTGGAGGAAGGGACCCCAGATCTTGGAATAGTACCAAAGTATTTTACTCATTTATATTTAAAGAGAAGAGAAACCGAAGACTTGGTTATGCTCGGTTGTTTGTACTGTCTGCTGCCTGTGGTTAAGATGGTTTCGAGCTGGATACCATGACCTGGGATCTGAGCTGTGGAAAGGCATTTCAAGACCCAAGCTGTCTGATGTGATCCAGGTTGAAATGATGGACATTTAATGAGTTAAGATGAAACACTATGCCCTGGAGATGTGGACAGACGAGCAGCCAAGACAGACTGTTTCATCTGCATCTCTTGGCAGGTCAAGATAACAGGACCTAGGTGGAGTAGATAGTTTTTGCAAAATTTCATTTTTAGTCTCCCATATGTCTTCGATAATGGTGCCCTGACACTTGAGTATGTACAGCGGGTACTCCATTATTTTTTCTGAACAAATCCAGAATGTGTTTTGAATCATGTCTTGGGATGCCTCACAGAAACATCAATGACTCCGGGTTTCTGAGCATACATTTTTCCAGCAAATTAACGTTTGACTTCCTGACAGGGCCATTGACCAATAGGTGGCAGAAGATGTCAGCATGATGATAGAAGGGTACGAGATGTGCTCCACTGTTCACTGATGTAAACCACACACAGATCCACATAAATAACCAGACTCGGTCGCGAAGTACACCCACTGAACTCCACAAACTTCTACATACTCCCTGATCCTTGTTTGTTTGTTTATTAAGAATGTTGGCTAATTAGATTATACTTTCATCTAGCAGTGAAAGTGTGGTCTACAGCTTAGTTTAATGTTTGTTTATATCCATTCAAAAGAATTCAACTGATTTGCCCCAAAATCAGTGCAGAAATAAAAAAGTTGAACCTGCAGATAACTGGGATTATATTTTGCAGACCGTCTTTTATTTACACTATGCAGTCAGATTGAGTTTACCTTGTTGCTGTTATTCTCAGTGTGTTATGGGAAACAGTAAATGGTGTAGCTGGACTGTGGTGACATCTTATACTTGATGTACACCACTGTTCAAATGTTTGAGGTTGGTACGACTTTTTAATGCTTTCTTTTAAGTCTCATATGTTCACCAAGGCTGCATTTATTTGATCGAAAATACAGTAAAACTGTGATATTGTGTAATCTAACAGTATTCTGTTTGAATCTATTTTAAAATGCAATGATGGCAAAAGCTGAATTTTATTACTCCAGTCTTTAGTGTCACATGATTCTTCAGAAATCATTCTAATAGCCGATTTGCTGCTCAAGAAACATAAATTATTATTATTAATAATGTTGAAAACAGCTTGCTTAATATTTGTGTAAAATGTGATAAATTTTTTCACGATTCTGAAGAACAGAATTATTTGAAATATATTTGTTTGTAATTTTAGAAATGTATTTACTGTCACTTTTGAAATTTTGATCAATTTTATGCATCCTTGCCAAATAAAAGTATTAATTTCTTTAAAAAAAACATGCTGACCCCAGACTTTTTGAACAGTAGTGTAAATGAAGATGAGAGATTAGTGGATGACTCACTTTGTGAGCATGTAGGTTTCATTCACAGATAACCTACACCTAAGGCGTAACCCACAGTCAGGCATCATTATCGCAAAATGAACCCTGATGGGTTGATCAGATCATCCTGAATAGGTTTATTTTGCGATAATGATCATCTGAGTGTATAGCATCCTACTTATTAGTTGACTATTTGCCAAATAAATAAATAAATGGACATTTAAATAATTTTATTACGTGAAAGAAAGAGACCATGGAGTGCTGCTGGGCACAACTATGGAAATCGGTTGGCCGGCAATGACAACAATCAAATATACAGTTTATCAGTCATTATACATAAACATTTGACCGCAGAATGTTAATCTGAATCAAGTGTTCCAGAGAGCCGTGTAATAAAAGCAACTACTGTGGCATGGTGAAGATATGCACATCAATGTACAGCACCAAAAAAAGAACCATATGTGGACCATAAACCAGTAAAACATTTGTTAAACATTTGAATTGGCAACTTAAGAGACTTGGAGGAAACCCAAATACATTGTATAGTTCCTGAAAAGTCCTATGCATTTACTCTTTGAAGAACATTTGGATCATGTGTAAGTGCTATTCTCTTTCATTGTGTAAAAGGAAAAACAATTAATTTATACATCTCTACTGTATTCATTTGCACATATTCTAAATTGATTGCTAAATTATTATAATCTCTTTGCACGCACATGTAGGATGGCTGAAAAGAGATTTGAACTAAACCGGCATCTCCGAACAGGATGTGTTTGAAAACACTGAGTAAATGACCATACTGCCTTTTCACATCTCCCCAGGAGCCTTGTGTGCTGTTATTTTACACTAGTTTAGCCTGGCAAGTCAAACCAAATGCTTCTTTTCTGCTGAGTGGGATTTATTTCTTGCAGTTTCCGCTAAACTATTTTGTTTTGAGACTTCAAGACCACTTTTTCTACAAACATGCGTCATCGTGATCTCACCGGATTTGTCAACAGTTACATGACTTGACTTGTGCTCTGATGGTTATTGTGACAGAATCATTCTTGATGATTTATTTCCTTTTATATTTATTTTGGATTAAGTCAGGTTAAGTTTAGCACTCTAAGCCTAAGGGATTAGTTTGAATGATTTTAAAACTCTTTTAATCAGCACTGTAACAGCATAATATGATTTACGTCATAGATTGATGCTACAAGGAAAGGTGCTATAAGGAAATGGGGAATATTTTATTACATGATCTGTTTTGAGACACCTTGGAACTTTCCTATCAAATTTTCTGATTTTTGCAAGCCTGAATCCATGAATGTGGACCTAACATCAGAAAATGAAAGACCTATAATGGCTTTAACCAGGATTGTGTACCATTCAGAATTTAAGCAAGAATGCCTCTTAAACTCCATTTTACGTCCTCGGATTGAATTCATTTTGAATTCAGGACACAAACAAAATTTCCATTTGACTAACTTTTAAACATAAAATCAAGATTTCTCAAGACAAACTTTGAACTCTAGGTTTAAAGAGAGACATGAAGAGAGAGAGGATAGATAGATAGATAGATAGATAGATAGATAGATAGATAGATAGATAGATAGATACCACCTATAAATATGTATTTAGTTATTTGATTATATATAATAAGTGAACTTCTGTGGACTAAGATGGAAAAACACTTCCCAGAATGCATGACTTTTGTTGGATTTCTTTGATAAAAAATTTCTTAAATTCCTCTTCCTGTCAATTCAGTTCTTCTGTGGGGTTTAGCTAATTAAATTCAAATTCACACACATAAATAGAAAGGGAGCCAATGTATCACATTTATTTATTTATTTTTATATTTTTGCTTACTTAGGATTGTACGTGAACAGTCACATGGTACACTACATCATTGCTGGTTCCCTCTCTGTAGGAGCTGAGACCATCAAGAAATACTGGAGCCGATATTATCAAGGTTCCCAAGGTGTGGTGTTTGTCCTCAACAGTGCCACATCAGACGAAGAGATGGAGGCGTCCCGGTCTGAGCTTCTCTCGGCCATGCAGCATCCTCAGCTGTGCACCCTTCCTTTCCTCATTCTCGCCAACCACCAGGATTCACCAGCTGCCCGCTCTGTATCGGAGGTATGGTAACTTTCCACACCAAATATAGCTCTATGTTAAGTGCTGGCCGTCTTCTCTGTGATCTGCCGCTGTTGAGGGTTGCTGGGCTCTGTTTGTACACACTCTCTCAAGTGTTTGGACTGAGCGCTGGGTAGCGTGCGTTTTGGAGAGCGTCCTGTTGCCATGCAGTAAGAGCAGTTGTTTATGGTCAGCCTTGGAAGATGAGCGACCGGGGCTGGGATAGGATGTTGTGGGGAGCTCCCCCTCCCTACTGCATCCTAGAACCAGAGCTGATGATGTAAACATGCTGTGACGTGGGCCGGCTGACTAATAGTCTCTTTCCACATGCTGAGAAAACCCTGTAGATGTTGTTCTCCTCAGAAGAAAGTATGAACAAGCAGCAGGAGACACTTGAAGTTTTCCAAGTATGTATTTAATCTAGACAAGGACGTAAGTATGACAGTCTGGTGCTGTAGTTATGCATCTGAGACAGGAAAATATCGATCTACATACGTACCATGTGTACATTTTTGCAGATGGTTACATATTTTGCACTTACATGTGACTTCAGTTCCAGGTGGCTGAATATTTGGAATAATAAGTAATATTACTACATAATAAATTAAATAAAGACACTTTTTAAATTGTGTCAGCAGTGGTTATTTGAAACGGAATCCACTAGAGTGTCACATATTGAATGTATGGACTCGTTTTATCATTTTTTGTTAATTACTTAATTATTTAAAGGAAATAAATTGTGGATGCCACCTGAGGTTATGAAATGTTATTCTTCAAAAAAGTGCCCCTAAATCATATGGATAATTTTCCTAAAATTCCGTCAAATGAGTCATGATGTAAACATCTGGAATGTCTTACTCAAACGTTATTACAGAAAGAGATGTGGTTTGTCAAAGTTTCCACTATTGAATGTTAAGGAAAGGCAGGGCATTGTCTCCTGCGCAGGACTTGCTGATGTCCAGCCCACTATAAACAAGTGGGTGAAGATGGTATCAGGTTAGGAGTTCAAGCTTCTGATCACATGTAGACCACAGATTGAAGCAAGTCAACCCCTCTACTGCTGACTCCTCTTAGCCAGTCAGACTGAAGGAACGACATTCATCCCAGCACATTCCCATCATTTTTGTAAACCGATTGCATTTCATGTATTCTTGAATGTGCAGACATTTTACATTAATCCTGCATTTACCTCTTGGCTCCTCCAACATGAGCTGTTGTCTGTGATGCAATTTACCAAAAACAAGTAGATGTCTGCTTCTAAATCTACTGGTCAATAAATATGACTCACAGCTGGAGAATGAAGGACATATACAGCGTACAGGGGGCCGCAAGGGGGTGCTATTGTGTCTGCGGGAAAGTTACAAATAAATTCACCAAATTTGACATTGCTACAGTTTCAATCTGCTTTCTAAACACTAAAATCATGAGATGAATCCAAATTATTTTGTCACACTGACAGACATAGTTTTATGTTTCTTTTCAGGTTTATACATTTACATTTAGCTTCCTTAATGGTATTGTACACAAAAGAGAATATATTCCAGATAATATTATACACATTTATATTTGTACAGCATAAATTGGTGTTTATGTGAATAAAATATAGCTACGTTCATGCATGAAACGACATTCTAAAAACGTGGCGCTCAAGTTAAAAGGAGTTCACTCCCATCCTCTTGCATGTTTTTCCTATTCCACTGCCCACGTTGCATCTTTGTCAATGCAAAAGCGCATTCTGTGTGAATGGCGCCTAACGATATGAGCGCGTCGTACGTGAGCGGTTAATCACGTGCGACAACATGTGGTTGGATCGTTATCATTGGCATATTGTCAAAGCGTCAAATTCTAACGGTTGGTCATATTTCTATTCAAAATCGTGATGCCTTGATTTCTAAAAAATAAAGTCGCGACAAAACATTACATTCGAATTAATTGATCAAATCTGAAAAATCGCCCAGCCCTAGTTGTAGCATATTTGAACTACACTGAAATACATTGAAAGTACAGTGTAAACCTATTTATCCCCACAATAACATGCAATAAAGGCCTTTATGAATGTAAAACTTAAACTGACGTGATATATTGATCACGGCTGGATGTAAATTTCACATGCAGAAACAGATCTAATCTGCACCGACTGCAGTGCAGATTATAGCTCATGTGGGTTTTGGGTCTTGATTAATGTGTAGTAGTTCTCAATAACTCACTCCCTGATAACCATTTTTCATTTATGGATTTTGACTTTGTCAAAGCAGGTCTGCTGTTGAAGTTATGCTGCAAGTTTGCTTACAGTATATACTGTTTATACATGCTCTGCGAAGCTGGCCTAAGTAAAGGGAAGAGCATTTAGTCATTGTGGTTACATGTGAAAGTGACACCTGCCTTCCTCCAGTGCAGTTGTGTTCGGTGTGGGATGTTTTGGCTAGCCACCTCCACTTTCTACTTGTGTTTCACTGCTAGACTCTCTCGACTGAAGAGGCATGCATTGTGGTCGCATTGAGGACTCAATTGGCGATGAGAGAAGGAGCCTGCAAAGTATTTCAGACAAGCCTGTTGCCAATTCTTGACATGAGGAAATATGCTGGAGATCTTTTCGAAAGCTTAAGTGCTGATGATGGAAATAAGTGTCACACTATACTCGAGTGTGCATTGTTATGTGCCGGATATAAGATAATTACAACATGTCTGTGGCAATGCTTAGGATCTCATAGGATTTTACAGACAACCACTAATGAAAAATAGCAACCAACTTGATGCTGGTCCACTTTCCCCATCGATTTGTATAGTCTATAAGCCTATAGGGTTGTGTGCCACCCGGTCAGCAGATATCCTGATATTGACCAATGGCACGTGTGACATGTACTGTGTGACTGCATGCTGGAGAAAATCTTGTATGTGGTGTTGACTTCAGTCAGCTGGCGGTCAACCGAGAGGACCCACATAGACCCTTTTTTTGTTTAAGCTCCTAAATGTGGTCAGTTGCGTCTGATCAGCGCAAACCATATTACTGGGGAGATTGCCATGTGTTGGTCTATTTTTAGAAGTTGAAGTCACAGAGAGCGATTGACCTCTTTTAGCTGTTTGCAAACACTTCCAGAGCCACGTGAATTTGGCTTATAGAGGCAGTGAGCCCTGCCACAGGCCTTTTATTTAATTATGGTGTCATCTCTATTCTTGTTGTAGGCATACTGTGTATCCTGTCACAGTGAGGGATCAAGTCCCACACGTCGATCCACACTTAACTCTGACATGCTTGCCAATCGCTTTGAATGGGATATGGCCTGACTTAGTTTGCATCTGTCCCAGGTTTGAATTGTCACCTCTTTTTTGTTTGATTGCATTTTTAAAAATAAGGAAAACACAAAATCAAAAAACTATAAATAAATTAAATCTATTAGAATTAATCATTTTAAAATTCAGGACAGAAGGGTTTTTTTCACTTTTTTTCCTCTGTTACTTCCTTGAGATGGTCAAATCAAGTCAAACATAAAAACTGAAAGAACTGATTTCAACTTTCATGCAGTCTGTGAGAAAGTATGGTTGACCCATCAAAGCAGAGAGGCGGAATAGTAAAGCCGGATATCAAAGACAGGTTTGATTCCTGAGAGGGGAACTGGCATTTGTAGTCGCATTTCTCGCTTCCTTTTTCCTCGCCTCTTTTTGCCCCACACACTCCTTTTGTTTAGATGATTGTGCATTTAAATGTTTTATTTTGTGTCTTGTTCCACATATTTTTCGAGGCAGAAACTCTTCACATTCTCTTGGGGTTTTTGAAATGCTTACACCTAAACATTTCAAGATTCGCCATAATAAAAAGCTTCAGACAGTTGAATCTTCTTTCAAGCAAACCTTTCAAACATTACTTGCCATCATAAATAATCCAGATGTCTTGTAGAGGAGCTTTCGTGCAGAACTTGCATGCTTAATATTAAATGAAAGATACTAGATGTCTCTGAGTTAGTGTACAAACAAATTGTTTGCTTGACTCTTAAGGCCATTGCACACAGAGTCCGAAATTTTTGCACGTTGAAAAGTAAATACGACCTCACGCTGTGTCAATCACGTTTACATACTGCCTCCGAAACTTTCGTCCATCTTAAAAAAAATCGGAGCGGGTTCGATTTTCTGCGTTTTTCGCATCCGTAGCAAGCATTTTGAGAGGTGTTTTGACAATTCAGAGTAGTGATGGGAAGTTCGGATCATTTTACCGACTCGGACCTTTGAGTCTCATTCAGCAAAATGAACGAATCTTTTTTTGAGTCATTTCATTCATTTTAGCAAAATACAATTAAAATGTTACGTGTTACTTCCCTAACACGTCTACTAACGCAAATGTTGATCACACTACAAACAATACAAAACTGCTATAAGAAACAGAAAAGATTAATTCATTGTTTACCTGGGTCTTCAGTCTATGATTAGCTCCACCTCTTATCTGACAAGTCTTCGGGTTTTCCGAGTCGTTCGTTCATCGCGTGACAGCCCCATAAACTTAACCAATGCAGTCTGAGCCGGAAAGAGAATTGATTAGTTCTTTTTTAAATTTTTTTTATTGAAGATATAACATTCACAGGGGATACAGTCATAGCAATAAAATACACACACCCAGAATACAAAACAATAAATACATAAAGAATAATAAAAATGAAATATAAACAGAACAAAAACAAATAAATAAAAAGTTAAACATCTTCTTTTTTTTTTATAAATCATAAATAAATTAAAATAAAAAATAACTTAAATGTAATATTATCATTTCACATTTTGAAGATCTGTAACAATCCCTAACCGAATGTAACCGTTTAGGGGAAATAGAATTAATAACCAATTCATACACTCTAGGTGAGGTATCCACACATTCCCAAGTCACATTAAAGATTCGTTCAAAATGAACGAATCATTCAAGCACGACCCAACACTAATTCAGAGCCACCGTACAAGTGAACGCCAAAATCCAGAATGGCGATTGTCAAGTTCATCCACTTCGTCTCGTAGCACAAAGC